CAGGAAGACCACCAAAGTATTCACCACCAAGGAAGAAGAAACAAGAGTTCAGCTCAGTCTGCTTAGGTCACAGGCATAAATATCTATTTCCAAATCTATTCAGGGGAAAGCTGCCCTATAGGCTTTATCATCCCATTTTGTCAGGATCTGAGCAGACAGATAAACAGATACTGAGGTCCTGGCTCTGCACACAGTAGGAGTATAAGGTGTGTGCACTGCATAGGTTTTACCATCAGTGACATGAGTATGGAGGGAGAAACTGACTTTAAGAAGCCATACTCTGTGTTATGTTGCTAGGAGAAGCAGCTGAAATTAAGAAGGTTGCCCATCATGGCTGCTGATGGCTGGTGATCTATCACTGAACTTTCTTAAAACATAGAATCTAAAAATAATTAGCAAACTTGCCCTGAGTTTCATGGGGGTGGGGGAAGAGAACAAAAGGCAGGCTGGCTGCCAATCAGCTGATCAGTCCCACTGGAGTGAAGACATCTCCCTGTGTCCCCTGACTTGAGCCTTGAGCAGTTCCCTGGAGGTCATATGAAAGCCCCAGGGTCCCTCCCTCAGCTTGGGGGTCCCCATATCAGTCTAAGCTGCTAATCTCTTTCTACTTTCTTGGGCACACTTGATCTCAGGAAGTGTTCAAACAATGAGAAGGATGGACAGGGTTAAATTCATAACAGGGTACTTGTTCACACCACATTAGCCATGGGAACACTACAAGTAGGCATAAAATTTTATTCCTGTGATAATACACTTCAAGCTCTAAAAAGATCCTGTAAAGAATTCCCTTTAAAAGAAAGAAAAGAAAAAAAAAAAAACCACAAAACTGCACGCACGCGCGCACACACACACACACACACACACACACACACACACACACACACACACACAAACATCCAAAAAATAGCCCAAACAAAACCAGTTACTATTGAGGTTAACAGTGCTGCATAGTAGAGATTAGAAGAGCTAACGCTGCTGGTGGCAACCTATAGGAAATGTGGTCAAAAAGATGTCCATCCAGAAAATACAAACAACTGTGACTTTTCCTATTGACTACTGGCTGGAAAGCCAGAAGCCCAGACTTCCTCAGTGTAATACACAGAACTGCCCAGCGTTCCCAGGTATCTGCAAAGTGCACGTGACCTAGGTCATGGAGGAAGCCAGCAAATCTGTCTGTAGGAAGGCTTTGCACAGAGGAAGCCACATCAACTGCCTTCAGAACACAGTGCAGGGCTGTCCCATTCTTACCACCACTCTGCCCTGTAACAATCCCGACTCTCTTTCCTGAAATGGGTGATGAGCAATGCCTTCCACCATTCCATCAACAAACAGCTGGATGAATGCCAAACGACCATACATCCTGGTCTGCCATGCCCTTTTTAATCAACTTCCTAATTAAAAAATGCCATGCTGGCATAAGGTATGAAGGGACGTAGGCTTGGAATATTTCACAAAATAGCATCCTCTCACCCTGGAGTTACCGAGGTTCTGTAACCTTACAGATGTTTACGAGTGTTCCTGCTGCAGAGATAGAATCAATTTGCTTGCGCCTGGCCCTCAAGACGTATTAAATTTATCCTGAAGGAAGCTGGCTTCTGAAAGCTCTTGCCCAGATGCATTAGGCAGGTGGGGGTTTCAGGGAACCGGAGGGTCCACCAGCAGATGCAGCATTGATTTCTGAATGTTCACACTCTCATAGACAGCTCCAGAGCAGACTCGGTTTGATGGCTCTCTATGGGGTGCCCTGCAGACTGGATTATTTCCACCACCAGTCTGGCTAGCATTGTTTCATGGCGACAGTGTGCTGTACATTCAGCTTCTGCTCGGATGGCACAGGCTAGGGGAACATGTGGACCAGGGAGAGGAGATGGCACCGATTTAAAGTCCCCTGCCTTAGGAGCCCCCAGAACTGAGGAGCAGTGCTGACTTTTTATGAGTGCAGATTAGAACGCACTACGGTTCCATTTAGACAATGGCTGAGGTGCTACTCAAGGCCATGTTGGAGCTAGAAATCCTGCATTGAAAATCCTTGCTGGTACACCAAAAGAAGCGCCTCCCCAATAAATTATTCATCCCTGAGTTGTTTGATTTAGAGTCCCAAGCCTGACACTCTACCTGAAAACATCTGAAGCAAATGCTGGACTGGGGTAATTTTCTCAAGGCATTCTGAGGGAGTGTGCTGCCTAAACCACCGGACTTTATTAAGAGGCAGACAGCATACAGTATAGAGTCAGGAAGTTCTTACAACTGTATTAATGAGTACACACATATATCTAAGGCAGGTTTACATGAGACAGGTATTAACCCAAGGAATCAAATGTTATAGCTTACACACAACACTTTTACCCCAGCAACCTTAAAAATATACGTCTTACACTTTAAAAACCACGGAAGGGCTGTCATCACATTCTCTTTAGTGTGAGGAAACATCACAGCACAGAATTTTAAAGAAAATAAGGTCAAGTGACATGTTGAAAGAAAACTATTGGCTTTCTTTTTCCTGTTAGTAAGCAGTAGGAGCCCTACTGGCGCAACGCATGTGGCACAGGGCAGGGCTCCTGAGATGCAGATACCCCCAGTACGACCACTGCCCACAGAGCAGCTAAGGCAGGCTCCTGACATTCGGAATCTCATGGATGAATTATGTGATTTAGCTGTGGGAGGTCGTAATCTCTCCCAAAGTTGATATTCAACCTCAGAGGAAAAGTTAAAAATAAATAAAAAATAAAAAGTCCCCTTAGAAATCACGTTTTCAGGCTGGCTCACATGAACATATTTCTAGCTCTTGGGGACATTTCATTGTCTTTGGATCAAGCCCTTAACAACTGCAAGGAGCCTTGAGAACTGACAGGACTGCAAGCAAGCGGCAAAAGTAACTCCCTCAAGTGGAAACTCCTGTGACATAATTGTTGCCCAAAAAAAAAAAAAAGGACTTCACCTGTGAGAAGCAGCCAGGCACAAAGGAAGCCTCGTGGAAGTGACATTCAAACATTCAAACATCCAAGGGCTTCCCTGCTTCCCTGCTTCTAAATGGCCAACAAGAGGTTAAAAAAAGAAAGGCTGATGTGTGCTCCAAGAAAGTTATAACCAGAAAACAAAAGAGTTATTTTACCCACAGAGATGGGCTCAGCTCTGAAGGGAAGCTAGCATGGGAGAAGGGAGTAGAGTGCAGCCTCCCTCTAGATAGGAGTTCATGAAAAGGAGAACTCTTGGGTATTCATTACTTTGGGCTACACATTAAACCTGAGGTCCCCCTACCTCATTCTAGCTAACTAGCTAATTTTAAAGATGCAATAGGAAAAAAAAAAAAACCCACACATCTGTATATCCATATGCACTCATAGAAAAATAGAGAAGTTTCCTATTATGCAAAACAATAATACATCTTAATGCTAATATCCAGAAACTTGCAATTTGCCTATCACACCTGAGACTTGGGTTCACTGAAGGTATTTGTGGTTTTCATTTTTATCAAGGCATACTTTTTGAAACAGGACAAATCACACCCACCCACCTCCCTCCAAAAGTTGTATTTTCTGTCGCACATTCACTGTCAAGTGTAAAGTATAGCAAACACTCAGGGAAAACTATTTAAAAATCAAAACAAAAGCATGACATGCACCAAAATATCCACAAAACTATAGAAATGCAGTGAAAAGATCATGGTTTCTACTGAAGTTTGACTTTAGAAACAAACTAAATAATTGGGTCAGTTAAAATGCAAACCTTTCCCTCTAAAGAGGCTAACTAAGAATCTTTACCACAGGAAAGGACTCCTCATCAGTGTCTTCCCACCCCCCCCACCCCACCACCTGCCACCCCACTCCACCCCCTGCCACCCCAGAAGCATCTTGAACTGAATTTTGAAACACCCATGCTCCAGCATGGCAATCCCAGAATTATATAAGAAATCTGTGCCACTGTTGACAATAAAAACTCAGGGCTCCAGAAAGCTTCATTATTACTTATGAACTCAGAAAACTGATTTGGAAAAAAAAATCATTATTTTTCTGAAAAAAAAAAAAAACAACTCAGTATCAAAGGTTGTACTCATTTAAAATCCCCCCCCCCTTGCATTCTACAGACCTACAAGAACATCAGTTCAGTTTCCACTGTCCCCAATAAGTAACTGGTTAAATAAGACTAAAATCTCCTTCCAGCTAGGAAAAATATATACTAGTCAAAACTAATTACATCTGGGCTTTCATCGAAACAACATTTGCTAATTCTGCTGGTCTGCATACACTGTCCTAGAAAAATATTAATTAAACACGTTGAATAATGGCTGCTGTAAATTTCTGAAAACACTAATCTCTAAACAGTTAATTTCCACTTCACACTTATGCACGTAAGATGGATGAAGAGGCCACCCCATGCACCAGCAAAAGACTATTCTTTTGTTACTGCCCTTAAGAGTTGAACTTTGCTCCACTTTGGGAAGCGCAGTCCATGGCTCCAGAAACAACAGGACACATTTACCTGGAGGGGATTTCAAAGAGAAACCTGAAGAATGGATTCTCTGCGCCTGCAGTCCCTTTCCGCACCTTCAGCTAAGCCAGCCTCTGACTGGCAGTCGTTCCCACGGCAGCCACCCCTGCCTTCCATCTTAGGGACTCACCCAGAAAATTCTCCAGCCTGCTCCGCGACTACAAAACTCTTCTAATGGTTTTGAACGCCCACCATTTGTTCTCCATTCATCCAATCAACTTCGAACCGCACATCTTCTCTCTATCGGCGCGCAGACACGGGGCCACTTCTCATCTGTATGCTAATTATTTTGCCACATGGACAAAAGTAATAATGCTTTCAGACAGGAAACTAACAGGCCTGAAGTCGAAGATGGAAATTAATAAGTTGACACCACTAAACGCCGGGGAAGACGGGCATGCGTGCAGAGCCCTGCCTGGTGGATGCGGCGCAGCCTCCATCAGCAGGCAGCAGATAGACGGCCCTGGGCCGCCAGCACTGCCCAGGCTGCGAGCATCAGGCACAGGTTTCCTTAGAGACCACATCGCTGCCGCAGAGGCACACCGGGAGCATCCTGCTGACTTACCCAGCTCGGGCTGCAGTCCTTTAAGCAATACAAAACGCAGCCATTTCCTCAAACCCTAACTTCATCGCTGATGTAGATTCTTCTCAACCTAACAGCTGTGAGTTAAAACCAGTAATTTCTAGCCTTCCTGTTTACTAGGCTTTCAGCAGTCATGCAAGATTGGGATGTGTGCTGTGTGCTTCCTACACTGTACCCACAGGCCTCTAAATCTCTAGAGCAGAGTGTATGATGTGCAGTGCTGTATTTAATGTAATAGATGAGAACTGTAAATATGCAGGCTTGCTGTTGGCCACTACCCGCTAGGTGATGTATCTCAGAAAATCTCCCCTATCTTTGACGTTATGGTAAATGCATATTGTGATCCAAGAAACCCCACCAAAGTCAGCAGAACCTTGGTGTTTTCACTGGAACTACGGCTTCACATCAAAACAAAAACAGAAAAGCACCCAGGCCTCCCTGCCACTTCTTAAGACAGGATAACGGGCACCAGAGAGTTAACGAAGGGGTTCCTACAGAGTCCCTGGCTTGCCAGCCACATTACATTATCCCATTGGGGCTCCTTTCTATCCTTTTCCTTTAAAACAGGAGGCAGAACTATTCTCTGAGTAACTTTCAGCATTGTCAGCTCATGATATCAGCATTAGTGTCATTTGAAGAAAACAGAAAAAGTTTATTCCAAAAAAGAACAGACCCAGTAAGATGTCAAAAACACAAAAGAGAACACAGCTATATGACTTTCTGTAGCATTTGTTCTTTTTATTTTTTTTTCTAAGTGATGATTTTATAAATGGCTACTTAGGCAAGCAACAAATGCTCTTCTGTGGTAGTAGTTGCCCCCCCCCAGCTCGCCAGCCTCTCAGCACACTGTAAAGGCACACTAAATCATAAAGGCTGCTTAGTACCACCTTCCTCTCCCCTGGAAGCTACCTTGAACATCCAGAGTCTTAGTGAGAATAACTCTAGGAAGATTTCAGACCAGCAACCCACAGGCATGTTTACCTGAGGGGCAGCTGTGGCCAAGAGAGTCTATTGTTGGCCCTTTGTACCCCAAACCATGCCATTTCTGCCATAGTGTGCAACCAAACAAGAGTGGAAGGTATCCAGGCAGCTGGAGAAATGGCTGTGGAAAGTACTTAAGGACTATCAGAAATTACTCCGAGAGTTGGAAGCTGCAGCAGCCAGGCAAATAAGCAACCACATGTCACCTTTAAATGAAAGGGAAGAGGTACCTCTCTGCAGAAGAGTTGGTGGCCATCAGCAAGTCCTCCTCAGCAGTCTGTCTCACTCATGCAGCTCCTCAGCTGCCATGGAGAGCCCCAGGCACGTGTGGTCACAGATCCCTCTGTGTTTGCATTCCCTCCACCCCTCCCATCAGCCCTGTGCACAGGAGTGCAAGGCAAAGCCCACAGATCAGCCACTGGGGGCCTCCATAGGCACAGTGCAGTCTGGTTTCTGAGGGAGACTGACAGCAGTCCCAGGGTCCCAGGAACACCCTCTTCTTGCTCTCAGAGGTAATTCCTCTGAAGAGCATGTGCCTGGCGTGTGGTTACTACACAGGGTACCATTTGCTCCCTTTCCAGTGCTCTCCACAAGGAGGCTTACTGGGGATACCCAGTGCTCCTCCATTTTCCCACAGACAATGCACTGTCCATTGCCACATGAGTACCTTCCTTACCTTCCCTACTGCCCAATATACCCACATGGGCCTTTCTCTTTCATAGAGAGAGCTATAGCATTCACAACATTCCCTTCCTGCCCAGCAGCCACAGGAAGCAAGGTTGCTCAGGCTCAGTGTCTTTTTCATACAATAAATAAGCATGTATGCATTCTCTCTAGTTTTCTAACACCTGAATTACATTTTCTGTCATCTCTGATTACTTCTGCAGATACCCCGAGGGCTCATTAGAATGTCAATGCTTAAAAAACAAAACAAAACAAGAAAACACTTTCATTGTCAATGTGTATGCTGGAACAATGCAAGTGTGGAGGAAACTGAGACAGCAGAGAGGGGCTGAGAGATAAACAGGGGCAGAGTTAAAGAGAGGCCAGGAGGCCAGAAGAGAGGGGGAGAGAGGGCTGGAAGAAAGAGGAGAGAACACAAAGATACTTCAAACTGAACCACACAGCATTGAAACATAGCCTACTAATGGGAAAATGTATAATTGTTTCTCCCAAATCATCTGATGTCAGAAACACACACACACACACACACACACACACACACACACACACACACACACACACACTAAATGACAAGAATTGGAATCCTTAATATTACTCCAAGTGCCAATGATGACCATTTGAGGCAATATTAATATTGCCAACTTAAAATACTTGTTAAAAATACTAGCCATATATGTTATTTAGATAACACACACACACACACACACACACCAAACAAAACACATGTATACATTCTTTAAGTTTGTGTTATCAGCTATGTTTAGTCTGGAATATGTATCGATGGGTGCCATTTGAGACATTGTATCATGCAGTGGGATGAAATTTAGCTTTGTGAAACACACATTAATGTTTCCCAAGTTTTTTGTTCAAGTTTACCTCCAATTACTCTTGTCAAGGAATGCTACCCAATTTTAAAAGCAAAGAGATAGAGGTTCTTAAAAACATGAAAAGGAAATGAGCTCAGCCATGGAGTGATCTGCTTGACAGCAGAGCAGCCTGGGACTGTTTCACTTTCCACTCGCTTGCTTCCTGGACAGGATTCTGGGGGACTCTGCAGAATTTTTGAACAAATATTAGATGCATTTGAAAAACTAATTATGGACTAGAAAACATGGCCCCTGATGCAAGTGGCATCCAGTTGAGCTCAAGTTCAAGCTCAGGGCAGATTACTTCCTACTAAGGTAACCTCATTATTTTCTCTTGTTCCATAAAGTGGGGTTTATTCTTTTAACACAAGAGTTAATAAAACTTGAAGTTGTTTGGAATTTAAACTGTAGCCAATGAAATGCACAATAAGTAAGCAGTGTGTTAGACGGGATGTGTTTTTTAAAACAACAGGTCTCCGTCAAAGTAGATTGGCTTTCATGTACACATGGGATGTCTGGTTTAGACATGTGACATTTAAAATATTTTTTTAGCAAAATTTCCCTCATAGGTAATCACCTTTTTAAAGTTGTGCATGTGATGTGTTTCTAAATAGAGCTAACAAAGCAAACGGATACTCAGATTACATATTCACTGTTTTAAAATTCTATGTGTAATAGTAACAATTAGGAAAAAAACTTTAAAAAAATTTTAATATTGGAAAATAACTTTTATTTACATTTATTTTTGAAAGTTGGTAAAGAAAATGAACAGGTATCATGGACGAGGGAGATAGTTTGTAACAATGAATAAAAATCAAAAATTTTAAAAGAGTAAAAAATTAAATTTAATTGGATATAAATCATGGCAGACATAATAAAGTTGCCACATCAATGAGAAATTACCCCTTCAATCATAACTACAAGCTTTTAAACCGAGTCCATACAGCTATATATCCCAAAAGAAAACTGGAGGCTCATATTCCTTTAAGAAATTTTGTGTATCAGACATAAGTGTTCCCAAGTTATTGGGCCTCTACCCTGGCATCAACTTCAAACACAGATCCATGAAGCTGGCATTGGTCGTGGCTCTGGGTGCAACTGTCACTGCATAGAATGTTCCTATTAAGTTTACTTCCTTCCCTAGTGTACCAGGTAAACCTGGCTCATCTTTTCAAAAAATTAAATTGTATTAATAACCAGACACATTGAGGTAAACAGTGTCTACTTCCAAAGTAGTAATGTTTGTGGTTTTAGAGCTCAAAATCACATGAGTTATTTTTGGCAGATTCATGTGTCTGATATTTATAAATATGTACATGCAATAGCAGCAGCAATATCTTTACAACATAATATAATAATAATAATAGTATAGTAATAATAAAAACCCATTAGCTACAGATCTGGGCTGCCACCATCTTCAAAACATCCAATTGTTACCATAAACACCACTCGACTTGTACCTCAGTGAGCACCGTCATTAAGGTGATGAAAGTGAGAGCCATTTTCACATCGGCAGTGAACCTGTAGGAAGTCGCTGCTGAATGCAATTGCTATCTGCCATGGACAGCTCCCGGTGCTGAAAGGAGGCCAGGAAGCCCTATCACAATGGCTCCCTCCACCAGCCTTTGAAAAATCACAGCAAACTGAATGGGGTGGAAAGTGCTCAGCCTGAATAGCACTGTCTACAGAACAATGGCGGCCAGCTCCAAATCCTGCTATAATCACATTAATGAGATTAATCAGTGAATTAGCAGCAGTCAAATGTCAGGGAGGCAAGGAGGAAGCCAACCAAGATGGTGATTAACTTTGGGAGGGGGGAGGGGGGAAATCAACTGTGTTCTGTCCGAGGATTTGCAGAACTTGACAGATCTGATTCACAAATCTGAAGGCTGAAGGTAGAAATCAAAAGGCGGTCACACACAGCCCTTCAGAGCACACTGTGGATCCAGCCACCACCCTGCTGCTAGTCTGCTGAGGAAAACACGATTGCAGGAATCTGTACAAACTGCTCAGATTTTGCAATTTGAGGCTTTCAACTGTGAAACTAACATTTAATATTAATTTATTTTCCCCAAACTCAAGTTAAATGTATTTTAAATGTTTGCTTAGGAGGAGGGGTCATGGCAAGAGTTTTAAAAAGTGTACCAAGTATTGCTCCACCATGCAAATACTTTTGCAGTGGCCTATTATAAACAAATACTACAATAGATAAAATTCGGTACTGAAGTGCAACTTTAAGGAGAGTTTTAACCAATGACTTCTGCACTAAGGCAATTTATGCATTTATGTTCAATCCAGGAAGGAAAAACAATAAAGTTCTTTGAGGGGGGATGGATGTTGCACAGTTGTATTTAAAATGTATCATCAATACTGTAGGCTCGGAGTTTGGGGGGTGTTAAAACTTACAGGAATCCTATGATACTGTTTTCAGAAGGGATTTTTTAATAAAACACTTGCATTTTTAAAGTAAGAGTGTATCTTTCTATTTGTAAAACACACCTTTCTTTCTTCATTTCAAAAGAGACATCACTTTTATGAACTTGAACTTTTAGGAAGACTATTTTATGCTAATGAAGGTGTTATGCGTGCTTTTGTCTGTGGTGTTAGTGAAAAGTATAAACATTTGAACAAAAGAGTTGTTATACAAACTACTTTATCCTAATCAAGTAAACAACATAATACTCTATAACATATATAGCCTCAATTGTCTAAGAAATGTGTCATGACTAAATTAATACTAAATTCAAACTCCACTCTACATTTTGTATCTTTCACACTCATGTGAATATTTATACTGTTTATTGTTTATTCAGAGCTATCTGGAAGCAAGAGTGTGAAGATTCAACTTTTGTTTATGAGGCAGTTTTTAAAAAAACACATTTTTGTTATAAATTAAGTGCTGTTTTGTTATTATGAACTTCAAACATTGAGGTTATTGTTAAAAGTCTTTATTTGATTTTACCAGATTAATGAACATCAATCAACTTTTCTTTTTATAATTAGACAAACACAACAGTGCTTTAGGAGCAGCTAATATCCCCATAGCCCTTGCATAAAATCCTTCCTTGTTTGTAAAGTGAAGTTACCCACTCTCACGAAGTTACTTCAGCTCAAATCACCGATCTCCACACATGCAGCAAGTTTTTCGTTTTTCTCATTTTTATTTCTTTTTATAAACAAAATCAATGTTTAGGCATGCAATCTATTACCCACTTTTGCTCTACAGACAGGCTTCTGAGGAATGAAAACCTCAGGAACCTTCCAGCTACCAGCCATGCTATAAAAATAACTTTAAAAAAGAGCAAACAATAGGACTGCAGCAGAAGCCTTGAGCTACAGCAAAACAGATCCTGACCCCTGAGTCCAAAGAATTAACCTAATGAGCATCACGTACCTCACACCATGACCACACCGCTCACAAGTGACGGCAAGTTCAATTTTGGTAACTGTGCTGGCTCAAAACACACAGAAAGAGAAAACCCTTTCCCCCACAAGTGGGAGGCCGAGGAGGACCACGCATAGCACCGAGAGGCAGGGAAGGCTGCTTTTGTCTTCAGCGAGCATTGATTTCATAACCCACAGTCCAGGGAATCAAAAAATTGAAATACACCCACCAACAATGGGTGAGAAACCAGGGGGCCTTCAAGAAGACTGCAGAGAGAAGCTCTCTCACTCTGTTTTGTGTGCAGTAGCTTAGGGGGAAAAAATGTCGTCTGGGCAGGAATGACACATGCAGTAGGAGAGGCTAGCGGGCCTAAGAGATCTGCTTTACCTCCACATCCAGCCCCTAATGCACACAGCCCTACTCATCCTCTCCCAGGCTTTTTTTTTTTTTTTTTTCCACTTTTTTTTTTTTTTTCACGAGCTCCAAATCCCCGGCATATGACCTTCTGTTAAATAGATAAAAAAAAAATTGCTTATCAGTCATGCAAATGAGGCTGAATTCATTTTCCACAACAGATGGCCTCATAGATAATGATGATGGAAGAGAGAAAATTGAATGTCTCTCACAAGGTGGCCATGGCAACCGAGAGCAGAATAATATCAATAATAAGCTCACTGCATAATAAGGTTGTCAGTCCTACAAATCAAAGTCTGCAGCTAAATCAGGTATACCACCCCAGCTAGTTACCAGGTAATATATATATGTGTGTACATATATATATGTATACATATATATATATTAATATATTATATATTATATGGATGTATGTATATGCTGACCAGGAGAAGAGATAGCGTTCCAAGCCATTCAATGTCAGGGTGGGGGTGGAGGGGGCAGTTGCTGGATAATGAAATGACGATCCCACGATCTGACAATTTTTTTTTCTTTCCTCTTTCTTTCATTATATTTTCTGCAGTAGCCTGGGTTTCATGAAGCACTGGCTAACTAGCCATATTGAACTGCGGAGGGAGCCTGTGGATGAGCTCCCCACCCGTTAGCCTCCTCCTCACTCTCCCCTCTGTGTGCCCTGCTGCATCCTGCCTAGATGCAAGAGCAGCTCGCCGGAGGCTTCCACCTCGGCTCCCAGGGGGACATCCTGCAAAATGAATCAGCAGCCATCCTGAGCAGGCTGATTAAAATGAAAATGGCAAGGCACATGTCTGGGCGGAACTGGAGCTCAGCTTTGTTGCCTGTCTGACAAGCAAGCTCAATATAGCTCTTGCTAATAATGGCTTACTGCCTTTCGGTTTTTAAAAAGGTATCACCCTTTCCCCTTAACCGACTGCTCTCTCTCTCTCTCTCTCTCTCTCTCTCTCTCTCTCTCTCTCTCTCTCTGTGTGTGTGTGTGTGTGTGTGTGTGTGTTTGCTCACATGTGTGTGACATGGGGGTTGTATGGAGGACAGAATGCTCGATTCTAATCTTCCACTGCTCACATGCAGACAGCCCGCCTGACAACGCTGTTATTTTAAAACTGAACTTAGTTGTATTTCTGCTGAGGAGAGTGATGGTTAGTCTCAATGTGGTGGTTGCCTGAAAACCAAGACCAGGAACAGGGATTTCTAGCCCAAGTCTTAGCCACAGAGTTTGGGGGAGGGGGTCACCTAGTGCTTTGCCTCTCTGGCTCCAAGCCCAGTGCTAGAAGCAGCCCAGGTGGAAGCCTGCTCCTGCTTGAAGCTTTTCTACCAAACTGTCTCTGTCCCCTGGATCTCATGCAACATACAGGCTGAAAGTTGGAAATGAAAGCCACCAAATGAAATTAATGGACAAAATGTATTGAAAATAAATCCCATTTCTTTTCAGAATTCACAGGTATAGCTTTAAGATTCCTTTTAATAAACCATATTTTTAAATATCTTTATCAAAAATTTCAGCCATTTTTAAAGGCATCATTACAATCCTCTCTCAAAAAAATTAAAAAGACAGAAAGAAAAAAAAAAACCTACACACATATAAAACAAAAGCTGCTGGAAAAGGGAAACCAGGAATTTTTCTGAACTAATTTGTACTGTACATTTTCTATCCATTGTATGACCACTCAGTGTTGTTCTCTCCACTGCTCTCTTGGTAACAGATAAATGATTCTGAGGGGGAGCCGCCAGCACCATTCTTCCTTTTCCTTCTGTAATCCCTGCTTCTGAGATACGGTTTTTCCTCGTGCTTGGTAGCCTTGATGCTACAGTGTGAGTCAGAAATCGATAGAACTGCCCTGGTGGGGACTCCACTCCACAAGGGGCAAGCTGCTGCAGCCTTCTCTCTCTCTCTCTCTCTCTCTCTCTCTCTCTCTCTCTCTCTCTCTCTCTCCCTACTCCTCCTACCTCCCCTCCCCACACCCAGAACTAATGACGTCTGTGCAGCTTTTTCAGCTGATTGGGCACCATATCGGATGTTCTGTGAAGCAAAGAATGGGAATCATTTACAGTCAGGAGGAAAAAAAATGGGAGCATGTATTCTCCTGTGTCCCCAATACTGGTCCCAAGCTTTCCACATAGTCATTCACACTTCCTACGGGAGATAGGACCATCCACAGGTTGTGTGGTCACTATGGAGTGGCTTTAGAACTGAAATTTGAGTAGAATGAGAATTTGTTTTCCTTTCTATGAAAGACAAAGCATCTCTCAACAAAACATAAAAAAGTCTCAGGGAGTGTTACATGGCCAGGTGGCATGGGGGTAACCACCTCAGGGCTCAAATGAATACTATCTTAGGTGGCGAAATAAATACCCAAATACTGAGCTTTCATATTTTAGATCATAGGTTTATCTGTGTATGTTTTCTCACACATATGTACATATCTATATAGACACAAGTGTGTTAGAGGGAAGACACTGCTTCTGTATACCTACGTGTGTGTGTGTGAGAGAGAGAGAGAGAGACAGAGAGAGAGACACAGAGAGAGAGAGAGACAGAGAGAGAGAGAGAGCAAGAGAGAGCATGTGTTGTGTTATGTTTCCTAATAATTGTTCTGGTTTCTCTCTGATAGGGCAGGCTGATGCACTGATGTGTGGTCCTTAAGATAAGTTGTCCCTGGAATCTGCTGCAACAGCACTCTGCTCTCAACACACCACTACTGCATTGACTTCAACCTCATTTGATCAACAGTAACTACCCTGAAGCACTGATACCACTCCCACCCACTTCTGCATATCTAAGAGTTGGAGAGCCAGCACACACATGGCTCAAAAGAAAGAAAAAAGATGAATGAAGCATGAAGTCATGGAGCAAGAGCACAAAGCCACTCCAGCCTGTGTTCAGCAATCGTGACGTGGATGCACTTGATAAATTATGATACTTTTAAAAAAGTAAAATCAAGTACTCTTCAGTAAGGCACAGTTAAACCTTTCAGGGTGCATGAGGGCGGGAGGGGGGGCACTCAAAAGGCCATTTCAATTAAAACCTACCCATAGTCTACAGTTACACTACACAATAAAACTATTTGCATACAAATACAAGTTTTTCCTTAAATTACTTAAAATGTTATTCTCTATTAGGAAATAAAAAGCTTACCTCTTTCACTTGTTCTTATTTATTTGTAAAAGAAAATATGTTTAAACATACAGTCCCTTCTAATAGATAAGTCCTCCAATTTAAGACAAAGAAAATTAAGTCCTAGATACTGTTTATATTTTAAAGTATGAGAAACATGTAAGCCACATGTCGTATTTCTAACTTTTGGGTAAGTGTTTTTACTACATCGATTAATAATGAAGTATGTGCCTTGATGTGTAGAAAGGACATCCCCCCTATTCTCTATACTTTTGAATAGACTCTGGTCTCTACATATACACAGACAGGGCCCTTCATGTTGCCTCAGATAGTTTGCTCAAGGATGAGAACACAGGAAGAGGGCAGGCTTCCATATAAATCTAGAAGCTGGATTATCTAAGTTTTGCTACAGTAAGTTCGTGAGTCATTTATGTTTACTCATAATTGTATAGGTCATATAGTGGTTAATAATTGTCAATTTGACAGGCTCTAGCATCACTTAGGAGACAGACCTCTGGGCCTGTCTGTGAGGGGTTTCTGCAATGAACAATGAATAGTAAAATTGACCTGAGGGTAACACCTCACCAGGGGAGAGCCCAAAGCTATGAACAAACAAATTCATTTGAATGGAGATAGTACAGTAGGAATGCTGCTGAAGAGATTCTCTGCTCAAAAGTAAATACCTTGATATATATGTATGTATGTATATGTATATATATGTGTGTGTATACACACACACATACACACACACATACACACACATACACACATACATACACACAAACACACACACACACAAATTTTAAAGGGAGAAAGGGAGGTATAGGAAGGGTTGGAGCCAGGAAATAGAAAGGAAGAAATGATATAATTATATTTTAATTAAAATTTTAAAAGTATTATTAATAAAACCTTGGGAAATGTTTCCCAAGGGTCAGCACACAGCAGTTACTACAACTGCTGTTCAAGGGAGTCCAGGCTGCTGCATCTTGAGCTACCAGCAGAATTTGGCATGGAAGATGCAAGGCAGACTATTACAGAAACTTTTATCTTATTTCTAGAGAGACACTAAGGCCAGATTTGTGCCCAAGCAAGAATCCATGCAAAAAGGCAGTAAAAATCCTTTGTAAAAATATGTGAATGAAAAAAAAACATAACTTTTCATGACCCCCAGCATCTTGGAGACATCAGAAGCATGGTATATTAGCCAAAGAAGTTGCAGGCACAGAGTAGATCTGGCTCAAGTGAGAGGTTGCATGTGGGAAAGCTGGAAGGGTGGGGCTATCCAATGTTGTTGGAAATTGGATGACTCCTTTACAAGCTCCAAAAACTGGACATAGAGCTCTAGGATGTAGTGCTTGATCTGTTGGGTTTCAGTCATGCTTTGCTATGATCTTTCTTTGCCATGTAATCATTCTCCCTTTTGAAATGGGAATGTTTATTGTGTGCCACTGTATACTGGAAGTATGTGACTTGTTTTTAGATAATACAGGGCTCGCAGTTGAGGGACTGCATGAGTCTCAGAACAGACTATGCACTATCCTAATGTTGGAAACTGTTGAAGTCCATGGAGACTTCCAAAAAGGGAATAGATGCATGTTTCATTGTGAGAAGGTTATGAACTCATGGTGGCAAAGAGTTATGACTTAAACGTGATGTTTCTGTTTCTGGGTGTCAACTTGACAAGGGTTGGATTTTATGATGATTAAAATTAATTGTCAATTTGACATGTTCTAAAATCACTTAGGAAATAAACTTCTGGGCATGCCTTTGATAGAATTTCTAGGTTTGGTTAACTGAGATAGGAAGGCCCACACTAAATATGAGGGTCATGGTTTCAAGGGCTGTAGTCCTGAGCTAAACAAAATGGGAAAAAAGTGGGTACAGCTCTAGCATTCAATTTCTAAGTTTCTCAGCTATGAGCACAATGGAACTAGCTACTTCACAGTGGTACCACCATGCATCCCCTGCCACAACAGGCTTTAAGTGTAGACCTAAATAAATAGTTCCCTGAGTTTCATTAGTCAGATATTTTGTCACCGCAAGAAAAAAATGCAGTTGACATGGGTGATCAGGGACTGTTACATCTAAAGGCAACACTGATTAGCAGAGTACAGCCTTATTATAGTTGGGAAATAAATGGTTAACATCTGGGCTCCAGATGCAACCACATCAGATGTGCACTGTGCAAAAACAGACACAGCACAGTCTCTGCTGTGGGACCCTCAAAGGAAATAACTTCCCAGGTTAGGAACATATGAGATAAGCACTATTTTATTAATACAGGGCAAATGATAGAGATGGAAGCCCCATTTTCATCACAAGGAATTAATCCCAACTGGAATGCTTTCAGAAAATGTCAGCAGCAGAGCAAAAGGAAAAGGTAAAAAGAGCTAACTTGCAAAATCAATAAAGGCCAACTTTGGGGAAATAAGGTTTATTTTAGCTCACAGTTCCAGGTGACAGTCCACCTGTTGGGGACATCAGGGTGGCTGGAGATTGAAACAACTGGTCACATGACATCCACAGTCACAAACAGAGAACAATGCACGTGTGTTGCTAGTGCTCATGCTCTCCACTCTTATACAGTACAGGATGTCCTGCCTAGGGAATGGTACTACCCACAGTGGATGGTCTTCCATCTCTACTAACACAATCCATGTAATACCCCACATATATTCTCAGAGGTCCATCTTCCATGTGGTTGGGTTTTTTGTTTGTTTGCTTGCTTTTTGGGGGTCCTGCAATCCAGTTCCCAAATAAATACACAGAGACTTATTCTTATTTATGAATGTCTGGCCTTTATTTGCCTTGTTTCTAGCCAGTGTTTCTAACCTAAATTATCCCATTTCACTTTAACTACATTTTATCTCTAGTCTTTTTATCTTGCTTTATTCTATATAGCTTTCTTTCCTTCTTCCTCTGTGGCTGGCCTAATATTAAATATCCCAATTGTTCAGCAGTTCTTCCCAAACATGTTTCTAGGTGATGTTTTAGTGGACGAGGCACCAAGTTTGTCAGTCACCTTGATAATACCACTCAAGCCAGCCAACATATCCCCCATCCATACCCATTAAGTGATACACATGAATTCTGCCAATGCATAATATGGGGATTCATTCCATAGAGGAGGGAAAGAAGTTCAAATTTCAATAGGTAGACAAGACTAAGGTTTTCACTTGGTAGACCCCAGGGAGATAGAACTCACTCATGGCATTTGGTGGTAAATCAATTATTTTGTCCATGATATCTAGGTAGACGGAAATTCTAGCCTAGATTAAGAGAGTGGTCTATAATTTTGGGAGCTAAATAAACTTGGTATCTATGAACATGGGTCTGACTGGGCAGTGATTCAAGTTTCTACTGCAATGAATTGGTCTTTAAACTGGAGAATCCAGTTGAAGGAAGACCTTCCAAGAACATCAGGAAAAAAGATGATCTTATCCCACATGGGTCTACAGCTATGTATCAGGAAGATATACTACAGGGAAGGTCCCCAGTCCTGTGGATATCAGACATGAGCTCATCTAGATTCTGGGAACATTATACCATATAGCCTATTATTATGTAGTAGAAATTTATGAAAAGACAAGTAGGTGATACAACAACTGTCAAAATCTATTCCTTGAACCTCTAGTTCTGAACTACTGGATTACAAGTCAGAGGCCAGCTTTATTTTAGGAGAATTCACAGATGCTATGTCATCATGTATTAGGCAGAAGGTAAGCCTCTCATTACCTCTTGGTTGATGGTCTGGATGAAGCAAAAGACAATGCTAGGCAGGGGCATGATGTGATATGTGGCTGACCCAATGTCTTAGTTAGGGTTTCTATTGCTGTGAAGAGACATCATGAACACGGCAACTCTTATAAAAGAAAAACATTTCATTGTGGTGACTCACATTTACAGACATGTAGTTCATTATCATCATGGTGTGACATGGGGGCATGCAGGTAGACATGGTGCTGGAGAAGGAGCCCAGTGCCCTACATCTTGACTTGTTGTGACCACTATGTCACTGCCATTCTGATGCTCTCTGTGACCCAAGAGAGAGTGTACTTGCTGCTCCTCTACCTTAAAGGGGTCATGTCCTCACCTGAAACCACAAAAAGGTGTGACCACTACTACAACTTCACTGGCAAGGTAAAATGTCACTACAATTTGTAGGCAACAGAAAGTGATCTGAGACACTGGATGGTGTTCTGAGCATGTATGAGACATCAAGCTTGCCTCCACAGTGACACACTTCCTCCAAGAAGGCCACGCCCACTCCAACAAAACCACACCTCCTAATAGTGCTGCTCCCTTTGAGGGCCATTTTCTTTCAAACCACCACACACACAGAGTGTTATCCCAACTGTAGTCTCTGCACTCAAGCAAATCATCAGAACCATAACTGTAGGAAACAGACTCCCTTCACTAAAAGACCAGAATTCCAAGTCTGGCTTTTCTTCATATGACACAAACTGTGTGTCTTCCACTCTCTGTTTCAAAAGAGTTCTAGATCTATGCAGAGATATAGTTTCCCTCTCATTCCTGCAAGAAGACAGACCTCTGCAAGGACACAGAAAGGATGTGTCCCCTAAAACAGGGGTCTACCAGCTTCTA